TTTTTTTTTTTTTTTATATGAAAAAAAACAAAAAAAAAAAAAAAAAAAAAAATGTATTTTTTTTTTTTTTTTTTTTTTTTTTTTTTTAGCTTTTTCATTTTCTGTTGCTACTTTTATCAAAGAACCTGCGCCACGTCTCCTCTTGCAACGCTTTAACAATTAAGAGGAGAAAAAAAATTGGCATTATCCAGGAAAAACCTGATCGGTGCATTTTTAAATCTCAACCACCTGAGAGAGATCAGGGAAATGAGTCCATCAAAATGGTTCTCTCGAAAGCTATTTTTCTTCAGCACAAATTACAAAGCAAAAGGTTTGTTTGCGGTTTTTTTTAAACAGCATCCATGAAACTGTAACAGTTAACATGAACAAGTAGCAATGCTGCGGCGCGCCACTTTGCTGGAGCGAGTTCAACACCAAGAGGAAAAAAAAGGTCAACCATCCAAGCCTGCATGTCAGTTGTGTGCGTTGCGATCCAGCTGTGTGGGACAGTACAGTTCGAATGACGCTTCAGTCTGTGGAGAAGCCCTGCCACTGTTCCACCCACCACACAAGAACTACTACATAGACACAAAGAAGCAACACTCAATTTGATTTTTTTTAGTCTCTGACAACAGAATTAAAAAAAAAAGGTTTTAGTACAACATCTAGTGTAAAATAACTTTTTGTCAAGCAGGCAAAATGTCGATGTTGAGCATATAAAAGGAGAAAGAATATAAAACCAGTGGTTCTTGTGTTCCTTTAGTATCATGTGGCTGCTGAAGGTGGAGGGAGGTTCAGTGCTGTTTAGGATTCATACAAGCCTTATGCAAGTTCTCACTCTTGTGGCCTACACATGAACTGCAGAAGAGACCGGAGGGAGATGGAAAATGAAATATTTTTTGTTTTTTTTTGTTTTTTTTACTATTTCTTTTGTTGCGCTAGTGTGGTCCAGATTTGAATGGCAGTGTCTTCTAAGAAGTCAAGGTGAGTTTTTACAGTCCAAAGCGGGCCGGGGTGCGTTTGGGTGTCATGGGCGCCTCCTCTTTTCTCCCTGGTGTGCAGATTTTCACTGCCCTAAATCAAGAAAGAGGGAGAAAAAATAGCGCATGAGACATTTATTTACTGAAATAAAGTCATATTTGTCCGCCTGCTTCGTTCTTCAATCCAAATGTTTCTTGCATTAGAGAAAAGACCAGAGTTTCAGAAAATAAGTGAGGAGGAGGAGGAGGCTGTTTTTGTGCGGCAGGATGGGAACATTTGAGCAGCAGGACAGGAGAGTGAAAAGGCAGCGTGGCGTCTCAGTGGAAAGTGTTGGGACATGGACTCTGATGTCTCTGACAAAACAATCCATCATCTTTAATTACGTGACAATGACACTGCCCACACTCTCCCTCGTCTCTCCCTCTTGCCTTCATACATGTAGCAATTACACCATCAGGGCTTAACCTCCTTTCTGCCACTGGGGGCTTTTTCCACCAAAGCTATTCTTGTGATATTCTGGGACCCCCTTAATAACTTGGCAGCCGTTC